TGAGACCACACCACTCTAAATCTAGTTTAGCGCCCCCTAGTGAGACCGGACCACTCTACATCAAGCTTAGCACGCCCCGGTGAGACCGCACCACTCTACATCAAGCTTAGCGCCCCCTGGTGAGACCGCACCACTCTACATCTAATTTAGCGCCCCCTGGTGAGACCGCACCACTACATCAAGCTTAGCGCCCCCTGGTGAGAACCACACCACGCTACATCAAGCTCGTCGCCCGCTGGTGAGACCACACCACGCTACATCAAGCTTAGCGCCCCCTGGTGAGACTAAAGCTAAGAGCTACTGCTAAGAGTAAAGGTATTTGTTCATTTACTTGTTTCTGCATCTCATGACCCTGAAATTGAATATAATTGGTATATTAATAGTTAATATATTAATCAGGCTATGTATTATATATAAATTGTGTAATATATATATATATATGTAACATTATATGTATATAAATTAGTGATAATTAAAATATTTATATAATAATTGATTACATATTAATATAAATCAATGATTTTATACATTAGATTTGATTTCGACATTTCCATGGAGAATCACTGACGGGCCACCACTCTCCGATTAAAAGAACTGCTAAGAACAAAAGTAATTGTTTATTTACTAGATTACGTGTCACAAAATTCCCTGAAATTGGATATAATTGACGTATCATTGATTTTATATTAATATATATATTGAGATATCGAGTTTTGTTTAATTCTATGAATAACGAAGACTTTGAATATGGTAAATTTAGTTATCCACATTTTTCTATGCTGGTTACTGTAACGTAATTGACAGACGAGAATTGCCTCAGCTATGCAAAATGAGATATGAAAAATATTTGCCTTGGTGTAGTGTGAGGAACTCTCTTACGCCCTGGTAGAGGAATGCCGCAGAAGAGGAGAGGCAGGAGCGGAGGAGGCAGAGGGAGAATCCGAGACAAACCATCGTTACTGACGGTTACAGTGTTTTATACTGATATTCCACGTGTTTTAGACAAATTTGTTGTAATTTATACTAATCGTTTATTGTAAATTCAATCCCATATGTATGAGCATGTGGTCTCGCGTTTTATGTGTACGACTGCGGCCCGTTGTCAGAAATTCTCATTTCATGCTCATTCAACTAGAACAACTAGCACTAGAATTAGAACACCTAGCTATAGAACTAGAACAACTAGCTCTAGAACTAGAACAACTAGCTATAGAACGAGAACAAGTAGCTCTAGAACTAGAACAACTAGCTCTAGAACTAGAGCAAGTAGCACTAGAACTACAACAACTAGCTACAGTACTAGAACAAGTAGCTCTGGAACTAGAACAAGTAGCTATAGAACTAGAACAACTAGCTCTGGAACTAGAACAACTAGCTCTGAAACTAGAACAAGTAGCACTAGCACTAGCACTATAACATCTAGCTCTGGAACTAGAGCAACTAGCTCTATAACTAGAGCAAGTAGCACCCTGATTGTAATCCCATGCATATGCGTTCATGATTGAAATTCTTTCAAATAAATATACTCCAAATAAAACGACCGAGATTCCTCTTTATATATGGTGTTAATTATTCAAAGGCTATCAACAATACTTTTCTGAAAAATCATCAGAGAAATTGTAACATACACTGTTAAGAAGTTTGCAGTAGATCATTGGTAGTTTGGGTTGTTGTTGAGGACGTTGTTGTTGTCTGGCGGTGTTGACATTAACACTGACCTTGACCAAGACCTCATCCAATGTCATGGCCTTGAGCTCAAGGTAATGGCCTTGACCTACTTTTTCATTTTTAAACGTTTTTCACAAGTAGGTCATGACCTTGAGCTCAAGGCCATGGCCTTGACCCCCTTTTTTAAGTTTTAAAAGTTTTACATTAGTAGGCCAAGGCCACAGCCTTGAGCTCAAGGCCATGGCCTTCACCACTTTCAAAATATTTACATTATCAGGTGGGGATCCTTGACAAGGACAAGGTCAGTGTATGTTTACATTTCTTCAAACGGCAGTCTGAAAATATTTGATTTTGGTAATTGCCTGGATTTGAACCCAGAATTATTGAATACAAGCCCGTTACGCTACGGACGGACCCAAACATACCATTCCTTACATGATCAGCTTAGATTTATGTGTTATATTTAGCTTAACAGCAGTTAGAAAATATTTTACTATCGTAATTGACAAGATTTGAACCCCGGACTACTGACTAGCAGTCCAACACGCTACGCACACACCCACACTTCCCATTCGTAATTTGTTCAGATCGTATGTGTGTATTATGTTTTCGTTTTATAAAAAGAAGAAAAGCTAAACATTGACTCTCGCCCAACCTCGGATATCATTACTTGTTTTGTTTTTACCACTGCTTGGAAAGTAGGTATTTTTACGAATACATTGCGTTTCAGGGGCATTTCGTTCTCCTTACATGATATATATAATGTATTATATTATCCTTATATTATTCTTTATTATTATGGACAAAATAATGTCTATTTTCCAAAGTGCGCATTGTCAAATGGTTTCTAGCGAAAAAGATAGTTAGACTGTTATATATATAGATATGTATCCTCCCCTCTCTCTCATTACGTCTCTATCTACGCCCCCTCTCTGTTTATAGGTATATTTTATTACTGTAATATGTATGCGTACTGCGTAGTATGTATCCTCTCTCTATATATTGCTATATGTGGTTCCTTTCCGCCACTCTTATATATTGTTACATATCACGAATACGCGCATCTTCTTTTGACGAACTAGAAGAAAAATCAATAGTAGCAAACATCACGTAAATAATACGAACATAAAAATTGTAGCTAAATTTGAATTATTATAAACCAATCAATCAGGTCGTTGTTTATCAGTCTTCCTGCAGTTTACCACACAAACATATAAACGTTCACGCGCAACGGGGGATGCACACCAAAGACATCACATCACACAAGGGCAGGTGACGTTTTAGGCAAGTACGTTTTAGGGATGTAAACGATTGTATGTCAAAGAAAGGACATTTGAACGTCTTGAAATTTTCAACCACAAAAAGTCCAGAAAAACGCATCTGAAATAGACACGTGTGCATATTCAAGGGTGGTTAGCACAAATAACACCTCACCTGCTCACATGTGACAGGTGGATACTGTTAATTATATATTTATAGTAGATTGCATACCAATATAGCTACTTGAGCTACAATTACAGGTATTCTACCTGTAAAACCTGTAAAACAAACTAAATTACTGTCATCTTCATTCATGACCGAATTATCAGGTGGCTAGGAATAAATATGTATCTCAAATTATAAACGTTAGGCAAGACATTCTTTCTATTTAACATTCCAACACTATATTTTAAGGTAATTGTCGTTATTGGACTAATACAATTGCCGTTTTTCTATTCGCGTAATTCTCCCTGTATTCGTATACCACTGCAATACTGTATAAAACGATTTACAAAATTTAAAACGTTCAAATATGTAAATGGATAAAATATGTTGTTGCATGTTTCATATACCTTGGCAATCACCATCAGCAGCAATGCACCCAACAAGGGAATTCCTTTCTTGCTATTACCCTGCCTGATGTAGGATTAGCTAGTGAAAAGATAGCTCTACGCTTTGTTTAAAAGCACTTAAGCAAGAAATCTTATTGCAAGCACCGTCATTTGCGACTAATTCAATAACATCAAGAGTATTATAAGCTCTTGATAACATGTGCAAATCTGCTGGTCCCAACTGGTTATTGTTCAAGATAGTACTGCCTACCAAAGAGCAACAGAGTACCGGTATACTGGAAGAATTCCTTGTTTACTTATATGTCCCTTGTTTGTTAATTTCCTTGTTGGACGAACATACGAAATAGGAAAGTCACCGAAGTGTACACGATAATTAAGACACATCTTGCATACATCTATACGGCGTTTGAATATTCCAGTCAGATGCTGAACCAATTGCTGAACCTATTGATATTAAAGCTGTGACACAAAGGAAATCGACTAAATTAATTACACAACATCAGCACGATTAAAATTCCTCAAACGACTTAATAACTCCAAGTCGTTATAAATATAACAATAGCTAGACAATGACAAGTATACATACCATCAAGAGCAGATAAAGAAGGCCTTCTTTATCTGCTCTTGATACCATTGTTAACGGAATGGGTAAAGAACTGCGGCGAAAAATACATATTTAGAGAGAAATGCCTGTTAAATAAATTAAGAGAGTAACAACCCATTTTGTGAAAATAAGGATAACAAGAACCGGAATGTGCTCAGAGTGAAAGATCCACACAAATAGCGTTTACCGATGTGTACGATTTGACACAGTCATGATTTTGACGAAATGACAAAAAACCTACACAGTGGTGAATTACACATGAAATATACAGCCGCTGAGAGGTGGCAGAAGACACGATTATTAAACTACGAATAATCGAGAACCTAAAAGGTGCCTTTGTAGCTTATTGCAATTCTCAGCCAGGAGAGTTTGAGGTGAAAATAAATATCTGCCACGGCTGCTTGTGATATTCACACCGAATTTCACCGATTTTTTTAATAATTATTTCTATTTATGTTACATCGGATATTGCTGGTTTGCTTGATCACTTCTCCGTTACCCTTTTATAAGTGAGAGTTATCGATCATACATATATTTTACCGCGCGTTAATGATGTCAGTTGAGCAATGGCACTGCACGCCCAGAGCACCTGTGCCATTGCTATATAAACCAATACATAAACGTACGAACTCGTCCACAGAAGCTGCGTTCACACAAGGATTTCAGTACCGTACTGAGCGTTCACACGGTAAAAATATTCAAGACTTATACCCGGCTTAGCAAGTACCGTACTGAAATACGAGGCTTACTCGGCGCGGAAAGTGATTCCGCGCTGAAACATTCGGCACCATGCTGGACGCGTATTGTCTGTTCGAGACAACGCAATTCGAGGCCTCTTACTGTAGTGCGCTTACCTAGACTGGTACCCGTTCGCTACACGACATTAGTGTAGCGTGTGGAACTGTCCACCAGGTACCAGTCTATATTATACCTAGCCAGCTAAGCCTCGATTCTCGTGTGAACGCTGCGGGTTGTGTTAGGACGGTATTTCAGCAGAATTCAGCACCAGATAAGTACGGAACCAGCGAGGCCGTGTATCTCGTGTGAATGCAGCTGCTGTTCTGTCGACGGACTAAAGGAGGCAAAATGAATCAAATAATATGCAATCATCAATCTCAAAAGCTTGGAATGAACATGAATGGATGGAATGGATGGGACGTGGTGGCCAGTTGTGTCGGGTCACTCAGTTGGTGATGTCTCAATTTCATATTTGTTTCTATATAAAGGCACCGCCAACTTTCAATTATGTTTTTTTATAAACCCGAACATATGGTATCGGTCTCAGCTTTAGACACATGAACAAACTACCAACAAGTTCTCGCAGTGTGAGTGCCACACCTCTACTAAGAAAACTACAATTATAAAAAACTATGTACAAATCCTTGTTAGCTGTCTTCTGTCTTGCAGTGGCTATCTCGCTGCATCAGCTGCTCCAACTCCCGCATAGCCAGGCACCTCTAATGCGCAATTGGCATAAACACCCCCCCCCCTTCACCCACACACGCACACCACACTCACAAATGCCACACACGGACACATCAGACTGAATTTAGCCATAGCACTCCGACGGCAAAGGTTGAATCACCCCCCCCCCCTTCCCAAATTAGCTACGTGTATTGAGATCGTAAGATTGTTCACAAATGTCTTCCGAGTGGATCCCTTAAACCATTTCGCGTTTGCCGTAACGCGTCCGAGCATTTCAGTCGCGTGTCAGTAAGTGGGTAAAAACACGTTCACCGGTTGGCCGCAGGCAGAGTATAGTCGTGCGCTGTGAGTATTGCAGTTGGCATGTCGATCGAGTTACGGCAGACGAAAAATAATTTAATCGGCAATCGAAGCAGCTGTCAAACTTAGAGCCACTTCGAGGGAACGGCTACATGGCAAGCCCGTAGGGTCCAGATTTCCCTTCGAGTTTGCAGTGGTTCCGCCTACCTTCCCGGCTTCACGGAAACGAGGGTTAATTAAATGCTTACAAATCTTCCATCACATCATTTATATAGTTTTAAAACGTTTAAAAATCAGCGTATCAAATTTATAAATTCGGTCCGACGTGGTGAGTGTGGTTCCCGCAGGCTGCTCATTGCGCCCCTGTACGTACGGGGCATCTGGACATTCGGTGGGTTCTGATGATCACAGGTGATCACTGTCTAGGCTGCTGCTGCTCTGACAATCACAGGTGATCACTGTCTAGGCTGCTGCTACTCTGACAATCACAGGTGATCACTGTCTAGGCTGCTGCTGCTCTGACAATCACAGGTGATCACTGTCTAGGCTGCTGCTACTAACAATCACAGGTCACTGTCTAGGCTGTTGTTCTGTAGAGCCACGTGCTCCTGGGAGATCGCTGCCAGCTCCTTGAGAAACTCCTCGAGCACGATCGCGCAGAACACCGCCTTCCGCAGCTGCATGGTCTCCAGCTTACCCTCGGACGGCGGTTCACTCGATCTCCTGTTGATGTATCTAGCGAGAACGGTTGCAGGGAGACTTGCATCATCGATACACAATTTGATGTCAATAACGATACGAAAAAGACAACGTTCAAGTTTCAAGTTTCAAAGTAACATTAAGCTATCACAAGCTGGCTATTACAAGACAGTTTAGTGAATGTAACGTAACATAGATCAACAAGCATTCGACATAATTGACGCTTAGTTGGTCAGCTGACTCGACAGGAGTAATTTTGTGTGTTATCCCCACAATAAACGGAAATCCCACAATGATTTCGTGGGTACTAGCCAGCTGCTTACAGCTCTACAAGTGGTATTGACCAACTTCAATATTCATATTGGGAATGCACTACACCAGGTGGCATATTGATTAATTGATTGCCCTTTAGTAATGAGATACTTTTTTAGGCTTTCTGCGAGCAAATAACCACGACATATAACAGTTAACGTACACCATACAGCAGTATCTTGCAGTAAGTAATAAGCCTATTCCAGTATATGCACTACGTACATTTATGTTATCAGCAGATGCCTACATGAATGAAAGAGCCAGAGTAGAGCTATTTGAAAGAATACACAGCATACCTGTATCCTTTATTATCCGGGATCGTTTCCAGTTCCTGTCTTGGTGACATCTCCTCTTCTACGATGCTCTGTTTCCAGAAGCGGAAGTTCGTTAGGCCTTTCTTTTTTTCTGCAACTATATTCAGGTATAACTGTAGTCAGAGAAACCATCGACTATCCTCCCGATTCGACCGATGTCGGCAGTCATGTACGACCGCTCACGTTATTGGGACACAAACGTAAGATTAAAAAATCAAATCAAAATTAACTCAAACAACTCAACAAGCTCAAAAATTTAACTCAAATCAAAAAATCATCATCGCACTTGGGTGTTGGGAGGGCAGTTTGAGGTGGTCGTAATTCAGCTTTAGAACATCATCATCAAACCTGCTTTCTTTCTTTACCTTTCTTTCCATCGAGCGTGCCGGCTCCCCGTCCCCGGTTACCGGTCCCGGGACTGCTGTTCTCTTCGAAGTAGACCTTGTCACGAGTGACGAGGTATTTGCGTGCCTTCACTAGTAACTGGTCAAAGTTACCGACCGTGTGGGAGTAAGAGTCCACTTGTTGCTTCACCGAGGCTAGGACCTATAGAAGTAGCAGCAGTCTTAACTTGAACCAGTTACAACTTACAACATCACAAAATTCGCAACTGTATCACGACTAGTAGTTGTATATTACTATTTCAAGATTTAATTATAATCCCAAGTTCTGCCAGATTTTGAAAATCATTCTGATATCAGATCTCAGATCATAATGAAACCCCTTCTACCTGAGACTGGGAAAAAGTCAAACCACTAACAGATGTCATGAAAGAATGAATGAATGAATGAACAACTGCTTTCTGATGAAAGAAGTACTCACTGTGTGAGAATCACAAGACATGACACCTCTGGCAATAGCCGCAGTCTAACAAAACCGCAACAAACTCGTGTGAGCCTGATTAAACACACTAGATCATCATACTCATAGGCACCTCACACACATCACACACTAGGCACCTCATCAACGCTGGGCTGGCACACCAGGTTGTGGTTGAGTAGGAAGGAGCGCACGCACGCACAAGAGCATACCTGGGACAGCCAGCATATGCTGGACTGGCACACCAGGTTGTGGTTGAGTAGGAAGGAGCGCACGCACGCACGAGAGCATACCTGGGACAGTGAGCGAACGCTGGGCTGGCACACCAAGTTGTGGTTGAGTAGGAAGGAGCGCACGCACGCACGAGAGCATACCTGGGACAGCGAGCGAACGCTGGGCTGGCACACCAGGTTGTGGTTGAGTAGGAAGGAGCGCACGCACGTACGGGAGCCTACCTGGGACAGCGAGCGAACGCTGGGCTGGCACACCAGGTTGTGGTTGAGTAGGAAGGAGCGCATGAGCGGCTGCGGGTAGCAGGCGAGTCGAGCGACGACGGCCGTCACATGAAGGTTCACGTAGAACGTGTTCTCCATCATGTTATCCAGCTTGCGGAACACGGTCGTGAACAATGGACCTGTGAACACGAACCACAGCCGTCAACAATGTTACCGTAATCCTGTACATTTACTGCCCAGGAGATAAAACGTATGCATCGTGAAACCGAGGGGAAAGTGGTTCTGTGGCAGTAGCCATCATCTAATAAACTCCTAACCGTGAGAGACTGAGGGTATCGTCAATATTCTTACAGAAGTCGACCTTTAATACACATATGCATACCCATAGCTGCACAGACTGCATAATTCCAGCGTCAGTCACCAGCCTTATTATTAGTGTTGTCAATCGGTTGTAATTTCGTAATCGATCATCGGTTGGACCCAAGTAACTGATGATCGGTTACAATCGGTTACTCGGAGTGTTGAATGCCTGCATGTGCGTAACGTCGTGTGCATGTACGTGTGTGCATGTATGTGCTTGTTTAGCCCTGTTTACTGTTTGTTTTGCACTGTTTATTACTGTGTGTATAATACATGTATGTTAATAAAGGATAACTTGTATATAGTAGCGATGATATCTCTGATTCTCATCACTTTTCCAAGTTTTACATTTATTTCAAATTATTTTTTTTTTTTGATGAAATCGATTATGGATTTTGATAACCAAGCGCTTGGTTCAAGCCACTGTTCAACCGATGATCGAGTATAATCGATGATCGTGACATCACTACTTATTATTATTAATAAACATTATTAATAACTAACATTATTATTCATCTCAAAGATGAGAACGGCCCCGGACGAAAAACGCAGGATATATTTCTACTTACTGGTAGAAGAGCGCAAAGTGCTATATTGCGCACCGAAGGTCACTATATTGCGCACTCTCTGGGGGTCTTAGGGTCCACCCAGAACATTTTTTTAATTAGATGCTTGCAGACGCGTTCTGAGGCACAGAAATTTCGAAAACTAGCTTATTCATGAACGCTGCCATTGCGCGTGCATTGCCGCGCAGTGCGCGAATGAATAGTACATTTGTCAGCCATGGGAGATTCTCATCTCTGTCATCTACATTAATCACAGGCGAAGCTGTGGCTGGACTCACCGATGTCGGGGTTGCCAAACCTCGCTGCGACGGGGCTGAGTGGCGTGGACGGAATACCTGGAAGATCACAATTCGCTGCCACAGGTGGCGCCACCGGCGTGTCCGCCGCCGCGGTCGACGACGCATCCCGCACGACGGCTGACGTCTCGCCCGCGTCTCGCTCATCATCCTTGCTCCTCATGACCCCTGCCCCGTCCCGCCGCTGCTGTCCCTCCTGGCATGACTTGGGAGCGCCCCCTGGCAGCGAGTCACTTCCCTCCTCCGGACAGAGGACGCTCTGACTAAGTGCACTTTGTGTATGCGCATCTGCCTCGCCATTGGGAGGGAAGGCCGAGGCCGCCTCGCAATCGAGACAGAGACTCAAGTCCGCCGCCTCGTCGTCGTCGATACTCGAGGCGGGCGTCTCGTCGTCGAGCTGGAGACTCGCCGCAACGGCCTCGATCTCGTTGAGGCTCTCCTCGAGGTCGCCCGCCGCGGCGGCGCCCTCTGGCGTCCGCACCCTGCAGAGGGCGCTCTCGAACTGCTCGCTCGACAGCCGCCGCCAGTCGTGCACGAGCGGCAGGTCAGCGCCGAGCGCCATCCGCTCCGACAGCAGCGCCACCTCGCCGTCGCACAGGCTGTCGTCCCTGCTCCTAGGGGGCGCCGCCGCCGCCGCAGCCACCACCGGCGCCTCGCATGGCGTTTCGACGGTGCCGTTGACGACACGCTCGGGCCGCCACCTGACCTCGTCCTCCTCGATTTCGTCTTCGGGACCCCCGTGCTTGACCACCGCGACGGCGTGCTTGGCCTCGGATGCCGCCTCGGCGGCGGCCGTGACGACGGCGTCCGGCGGCGGCGCCATGCCGTCGTACGGCGCCGACCAGCACGCGGCGCAGGCGCGCGCGCACGCTCCGACGCCGGCATGCGCGTCCCGCAGGTAGCTGACGTAGTCCGTCTCGTAGTCTCCCAGCCGCGCCGACGCCGCCGCCGCCGCCGACGCCGGGCGCGCGTCGCCGTGGTGACCGCGGCTACCGCCCAGCCGGAACCCCGCCTGCGAGAAGTTGGTCTTGCGCAGCAGGAGGGACTTGGCGGCGCTCGCGTCGATCGGGGAGACGGGCGGGGTGGCGGGGATCGGGGGCAGGGCCGGCACGCAGCAGGAGGGAACGAGGGAGAGGAGCTTCTCCGCAGAGGAACCGTACGTGTCCATCGTCTTGAGGCTGCGTATCTGACTCACCATCACGTGACTGCAGGGGATGAGATGTCTGAAACGCAGCGTAGTATAGTTTAGTTCAGTAGTGTAGCATAGAATAGCATACTATTGTATAGTATAGTATAGTATAGTATAGTATAGTATAGTATAGTATAGTATAGTATAGTATAGTATAGTATAGTATAGTATAGTATAGTATAGTATAGTATAGTATAGTATATAAGTATAGTATATTTATAGTAGTTAGTATAGTAATAGTATATTAGTATAGTAGATATAGTAAGTATTACGTATAGCATATTGTGTATATGATTAGTATAGTATAGTATGATAGTATAGTATAGCATAGTATGTATAGTATAGTAGTAATATAGTATAGTATAGTATAGTATAGTATAGTATAGTATATATAGTAAGTATATATACAGGGTTCATAGTAGTAAGACACATGTGTGAAATTAAGGACTTATAAGACGCTCTTGCTGGATGGCCAAAATAATTACTTTTTTTACGCGAGTTTCTGATAGATACCAACTATTAAAGCGTCACTAATAATATTTAATATACACAGTTGCACAGCAGATTTATTATTCCGTATTATATATACAACATTTTACTGCTAAGTCGATAACAGTTTATACAAACAATTGATATGAATATTGTAGGCTTGCAAAAAATAAGGATATAGAGTACTTTCTCTCAGATTTAGCCCAAAAATATAAGTACTAATATAGGGCCCTTATTTTATTGTTTGGACCAAAATAAGTACTGTATAAGACTTTGAAGACCCCGCTATCGAACCCATTGGTATAGTTATATAGAGTATGTATAGTATATGTATTATAGATAGTACGTATAGTATAGTATAGTAAGTATTATGTATAGTAATATAGTATAGTATAGTATAGTATAGTATAGTATAGTATAGTATAGTATACCACAGCACACTATAGTATATGTATACGTGTCTGAAATGCAGTGTAGTATAGTTTAGTTCAGTACGGTACAGTACGGTACAGTTTAACTTAGTATAGTAAAGTAGAGTACAGTGTATAGTGTTTTTAGTTCAATAGTGCAGCATTGCATAGCGTAGCGTTGTATCGCATAGGATACTACAGCACACTACAGTACAGATCAGTACAGTGAAGGGCAGTATAGATCAGTACAGCACAGTACAATGCAGTAAAGTACAGTACAGTGCAGTACAGTATATTACAATGCAGTACAATGCAGTGCAGTACGGTACAGTATAGAATAGAAAGCACCGGCAACATGCTGGAAACTCCAAAACCATACTGTTCAGGAAAAACGTTGCATACAAGCACACATGCATTCACAGGGTGATGCTATATATTGTTCACCAGACACAGATGTAATATATACTAAAAAAGAAAGAATAAATAACATCCTGCAGTTTCATTGGTTTAAAAGGACACCATTTCACACACCTAGTATTCTTCACATTTCACACATCTAGTATTCTTCACATTTCACACACCTAGTATTCTTCACATTTCACACACCTAGTATTCTTCACATTTCACACACCTAGTATTCTTCACATTTCACACACCTAGTATTCTTCACTTACACCAATTCCTTCATTCACACACCCTAGTATTCTTCAGCATACCCCAGTTTCTACACATCCCCTTAGTATTCTTCACATTTCACACACCTAGTATTCTTCACATTTCACACGAAACTGCATCTAGTCACATAATCACTTATAACGCATAAAGTGTACAACACTACGTTTACAACCGTTGCCCAGGCGAGCACGAAACAGCTGCTATATAACATAATATATATAACACAGGGCCATAGGCTGAGCAAATTTCTAGGGGGTGTAATGATGAGCGATGGGCGCAGCTCTTGATCGACGTCCATAGTGTGGTAGGGGTGGGTCTGAGACAAGGCTTTCACGGATAAGTGACCAAAAATTCACGTTAGGGTTATTTACGATTATTTAGCCAGCTTATTTTTTCATTTTGCCCTCAAGATATTGCTGCCCCCCACAGGCCTACGACCCGGTAACATGTTATATAGATAATATCACAGACAACTGTTTTATAGATAAAGACAAGATTATAGTACCCATATGTTTCCCAATGGCATGCTTACCTGAGGACTAGATGCAGCATAACCTCCTCACAGTTAAGACTGAGCAATGTGTGGATCAACGAAAGGGAGACAAGACATAGCTGAATGAAATGGAAAACAACATAGTTAATTGAATAATTAAAATAACAATTGGGCAATTAAGAAATGGCATCACATCCTAATACGTTATACTCTATCCCTTAATTTGGCCTCACATTTACATACTTTTTGGTAGAACCTTACTTCTGGATATGACATATAGCAGCTAGAACAAATCTAGATATATTAACATTATCATCTTTACATGTTACGAATTGACAATCTATATTTATTTTACAATTATATTATATTATCAGGATTCTACCCAGGCCTTTAATTCATGTTGTATCCGACATGCCCTCAAGGTTAAAGCCAATTTTGGGGGAGTGGGTGGGGAGGGAAGGGGGGGAGGGAGAGGCAAACGAAAGGGGTAGGGGTGGGGGTGGGGGGAAAGGAAGGGGGAGGGGAGGGAGGGGGGGAGACATACCCGGTCGGAGTTGTTTATTCGCGAGACGATTGAGTCTATGATGACAGCACCGTCCAACTTCTCTACTAGCAGGAATCGTAGGAACGTTTTCATCAGCGCTTTGTCCGTGATGTTTGAGATGAACAGCTTCAGGTAGGCCGTTGCCATGACAACCTCGTCCGTCGAGCTCTTAGCAGACAAAAGATGCGCGGCAAATTAGGCACCCGTTTGTCACCATTTTCAGTCTACGTATATTGCCCCGAGTCGCTCTTGCATTGATGAAATAAATGAGAATTCTATTGTATACACTTATTGTGAATACCTGGTAACGTGTGATTACAAAATAAAGACCACTTCCTCGTCGCCCCAACTCAAGCTTTTCGTTTTATGAGGGTTTTCACTTTCTTTGATTGCCACGATATTGAATTTCACATGCTATAGACATATAATTTTGCATTCAGTACTCTTCCAAAAACTAAGAGATGGGAAATTTAATATGGACATTCACCTTGAGAATTTTTTTTTACTTAGAATCACCACGAAATTGCGCCTGTTAATTGAAACTTGTCACGATAATATGGTTCAGTAAACCTGTTTCGTTTACGGCATACCATACATGTGTGTGTGCTGAGGCTGCGGTGGGGTAACGAACAGCTGCAATCAGCAGCGAATTATAATTACCTTCGAATATAATGACACCTGAAAAATTACCCTTTGGCTAACAAGGACATCGAGATAGCAAGTCCTAACATTTCGCTTGATGACTACGCTTACAACTTTTTATATGTTGTTATATAGGGCTCCTGCAAGAAACGTGCACAAGTGCATGTGTGTGTGTATGTGTATGCGTGTGCGTGTGCGTGTGCGTGTGTGTGTGTGTGCATGCATGCAAGCCCTATGCACCTAGTGCACGAATGCAGTGTACACATGCTGTGCAACATTTATAATCAACGTGATGTTAGTACAGCATGCACAAACAGTGAATTCAACAAGTACGGTCCAGCCATGCAGTATTCTACAAGTTAGACCATGATGTAGAAATAGCCCCTGCTGTAAAAGTAAGCATGCTGTAAGCAAGGAACAGCTGCTGAAAAGCAAAAACATAAACCCAGATGCTCGACGAGGGGTTTCTACCCATACATGCAGTAATTAGAGCAACCTTCTCTCTTTGGTAAGCTCATCTCAGACTTTGGACTTATGTAGCATGCAATGTACTTCATACTAAGCTTCATTGCATCTCCTACAATTAGGAACATTTCTCTTCTTGATTCTAATAGTACTGAACCCACAAAATAGACACAACATGCACACACGCACGCACGCACGCACGCAATCGTGTACACACATGCACACATGCACGCACTCACACAATCGTGTGCACACATGCACACACGCACGCACGCACACAATCGTGTACACACATGCACACACGCACGCACTCACGCATGTACACACGCACGCATGCACACAATCGTGTAGACGTGTACACACATACACGCACTCATATGAAAGCCTAACAACTGAACAAGGCCACTATGCTTTGCTCAATACTCCCCTATAACAGCAACTCGACCTTCACACATGCATGCACGCACACACACACCTACACGCCTGCACACGCACACATGCATGCATGCACACACACGCACGCACGCACGCACACGCACACGCACACGCACACGCACACACACACACCATCGTCTCTAAAAAACCACTACTCTTTTCAGGAGAGGGGTTCGTCAGATATCTCACTCACTATGAGCATGCACACTAGGTAGCTGCATACTGACCACTGTGTACGGCGTATGGCGTAGAGAGTAAGGAATTCCCATTAACTCCTGATAGAAAAGAGAAAGACAGCAGCGAAAATAGAAGTTAAAAACAAAGCATTTGTCAGAAAAATCGTTTCTCCGCACCCAAGACCTCATCACTGCAACAACTCATTTTCAAAGATGGAGCCAAATAACGATGTTATTTCCATGCAGTGACACCTGGCGTGTGGTGACATGGCATCAGTGCCTGCAAACTGCAATATATCAGGAGTGAATAATAGAGATTCTCTATTATTCACTCCTGGTTATATAATATGGTGCTAACTGAATAGGAGAAAGTGCATCCACACAATCAATCACCTTAACATACCTAACTGATATTGGCACAACCAAAATGTAACAGCTAACTATCCGTAGTATTATTGCAGGTAATTCACAGAAGTGCGCATCACCGCAAGACACTTAGACGATAGTGCAAAAGATGATTGCCCAGCACGGCTGAGTGACACAACTAAAATACGAAATGTTTCTCGTTACGCCCTTAGGCGTGATTACACGCCTAATTTAAGATTTACTTTCACTTGCGTGAATACATTAAGAGTCATACTATCCATGTAGGCATCTTCTGTATGTAGTATACTAAAATGGCTTTAGGTGCAACATATGTGGATAGAGATGGAATGGAGGGGTAGAGTAGGAACGCGGAGGAATCAAAGATGGAGGGAGATTTTTATAGTAGGAATGTCAGGTAATAAATAGGATTTCAGTAAGCAAATTAGGGGCCGGTTTCACGAAGCGTAATTAAGTCCTTAATCATGATTAAATCACTAATCATGATTAACCTCCCATACTTAAATAGAAGTAACTGTTTCACGAAGCGTAATTAACTTTAATCATGATTAAGTTAATCACAATATTTAATTCTACTCAGGAGCATGATTAAATCCACTAACCATAATTAGTTGCTAGTACTAGTAGTAGTATGTAGGTAGTACTAGTACAGTAAGTAGGCTGCAGATTTTACAATTGGAAATTTTACTTCGATTTTTTCCCAAGGAAATTGAAATTATCTAAGATTAGCTGTACTAATTTAGTAATTATAATTGCAAATTAATTCCTTTTCAGGTACCGTTTTGCAGGTACTTTTTCCGTTGTCCGCCATTTTGAATACAGTGTAATTCATGTTTAAGTCGGCTAATTATGTGATTCGTTAAATATGTAATTAAATCACTTCGTGAAACATATTTTTAAGTATGATTAACTAATCATAATTACGGAAAGTTAATCATGATTATTGATTTAACTATAATTAAAGTTAATCATGCTTCGTGAAACCGGCCCAGATCTATACACTGTTTACTCTTGACATCACAAAGTCATTAAACTATGAGAACAAATAGTGTTTTAACCAGCCATAGAAACAAAAGGGGAAAACCATGTGACATTCAGCAAAGGGCTGGCATAAAATTAAAGAAAAAACAAAACAAAACAAAACAAGAACCTGATAGTGTTACAAAAGCGGCCCGACCACGTCTCTGCAGTGGAGTTACGTCCGTGCCGTCACCACCATAAAATAGAATCTCTATATAGGCATTTGAGGATCTGCTATACTGTACATATTGCAACATACAACATACCTGGCAGAGAGCTGGCCCCATAACACAGACGAGGAAACCATGGTATACATAGTCAATGAGCTGATCCCGCACAGCTGCATGCGCCACCTGTAAACAGATGAACGTACATACACATTCAGCTGAATGCAGGTGGATCACGAAAAGACAGATGTCTTGCGTTCAGTATTTTCCAGCTCTCGGTTTCTCATTCTAGGTGTGGCTCTACTCAATTACTTACAGACGGCATTACACAATATGCTAACAGAATTTCGCAGCAATCACTATCGCAACTCAGAGCGACTCTCGCGTCATTTAGAGATCGTAAAAATAACTCTAAAACAAGTCAGAATGTCTTCCGCGGTAATGCACACTATCAAGCCTCGGATTGAAACTCAACATTACTGCGCTGGTTAAAAAAACAGTGAAAAAGCATGTATTGTGTTGCTAGGCAACAAAGTGTGCTGCAACCGTAAACTCGTCGTTACACGACCGAAGCAGTCGAGAGCTATCTAAAACCTCTCGGCGAAACGTCTATCGATGAGAGGCAGTCATTAAATTCGTGTTTGCATCGCAAAAAAGCAGGCGCGAGTCGTTCGGGCCACAATTAAAAAATCTTTGTTTGCCCTCACCCAACCCAGGCTGAAAAGTTTGGGTAAGTAGTTGGGCTTTTTTTAGGGGGGTCTTTTTACAAATTCAGCATGGTGTCTACATGCTCGGGTGTGCTTCTGTGGAGATGCCTTTTATGTTGAATGTTTGTTTTGCTTGGTACATATAATGTATTGCCTACAGATTTACATAATGTACAGTGATACAATTTGTAAAAAAAAGAGAGAAAGATCAATAACATTTTTTGAGTCAGCCCCTTTTTGGCGGGTCGGTCGGGTGAGGGCAAACAAACAATATTTTTATCATGGCCTCATTACCTGCACGACGGCATTGCAGAACTCCAGCGAGCCGAGAAACGTCTCCAGCTCTGGCAGTTGCTCCTTATCTTCGTCTCGCAGCTCGTGCCAATCCTCCGGCAAGGCCTCCAGCTTCCTGGGAAGTCGTGAGTACAGCCCGCTCAGTCCCGTCGCCAACACCTATGCATTAGAGTGGCATATTGCAGCGAAAATTAAATTACTTTATTAGAGCAAGACAAGCTATCGGTTTAGAGCACCAAGACATGTTGTAGTGGCACTGCGGCAAACATTTCCTTCAGAGTGATACCAAGGCCAATTATTTTTTAACACATCTTATGTGTAGCAAAGAGAGATACATACATAACATTGGATTTATGTGAAGGGCACGAGGGCAAACTAAGTATTCTAGCCACAGCCATGGATTTATTACTAACCGATTTTCAGCAATACTACTGCAAATAGGAACGAAAAACACGGCACCAGCAACCGGTGCCAAGGTGAAAGAAACGAAAGCCGATATTGTGGAAGCTATACTTGAAATCAGCTTCGTTAACAGGGCTCGATGTTGCATGGATTTTATAGGCTACCCTTCGTTAGGGAACCACTTTTCACAGTGCTAGAAAACCAATTAGCTCAAAGTTCAGCTCATCACAGGTACAGTTTCCTGCCCATGGCTTTCCTGCATACAAGTAACCTTAGATTTTGCGATGAAAGCGAGCATACTCTGCCTGGAACAAACTAAATCTTTAAACTAAACCTAAGGGCAACAGCTATCGCTCCGAATTATTTACTACCAGCATTGATCGTCATCTAATCAAACCCCCTGATTTACAAGCCCAGACAACAGCATAACCGAACAGACATATGTGAACACACGCGTTCAATGAGAATGCGTAATCACAGCTAAGTGGCTATGACTAATGCATGAGACCAAGGCCAACCTTTAAAACTCTTCGTTTCGGTGATCTGACCTAACATTTCGGAGACAGCATAGCTAGGATGCAAACTGCTTTGCAATATGCTGCTCATGTAGTGAACAAATACGTTGCATGATCATCTATGCATTTAAACGTCCCAAATCTCACACTTATCTTTAAATAACCTCAGTCAGCATAAATCGGATGGGCCTACTGATTTGGGTGCAGGGTTTACGGCACTAAACAAATCATTTAATTAGGGTTTGGTTAGAAACATCACTGCATGCGTGCAAGACTGACCAGACACACGTGCGACGACAACCAACGCACGACGATGACTCAACAGCAACTCACCGGGCAAAAGTTTGACTCGTCTGCGATGTATGCGCCGACGTAGTCGAATTTTGCGGAGAGCACCATGCAGTGCAGCAGCGAGTTACGCGCCTGCTCGCCGATCGCGCCGTCGCGGTGCAGGAACTGCGTCAGGATCGAGAAGACGAGGAACTTAGAAGCGGACGTGTCAGTGGCCGCGTTGAAGAAGAACTCGAGCAGGCTGTCGTACTGCGACACGCACATGCAGATGTGGTTGAGCACGGACACGAGCGATCTCTCGACGTCCACCGGCGAACGTTCCCCACATACCTGCGCACACGTGTACATATATATTTATGCTGACCACAGCAGCTATATATAGCTGGACACACGCCTACAATGTGCACACATGAATTTATGTGCAGTGAGACAAATAATACGCAGATGAGATATCAAGACAAGAGTGACAGACAAAGATAAGAGAGAGAGAGAGAGAGAGAGAGAGATAGCCATAGAGAGAGACAGAGATAGATAGAGCACGAGAGCAAAAGTCAGAGCAAAAGTGTTAGAAAAAGTGAGAGCAAAAGAGAGAGAGACAGAAAATAAACTAAAACCCTAAACTCTTGGTAACACAGAAAACCAACCCTCCCAATAATGATCAGCTATGTAGCTAATGCAGATCTACTGCACAGGAAGGATTTCAAAGCAGGTGAGCCAGAGGAGAGAGAGAGAGCACGTACCTGTAGGAGCTTCAGCAGCGGCCGCAGGATGGGCTTGTGGACGAGGATGCTGTGCTGAAGCTCAACGATCAGCAGCTCATAGATATGAAGTTGCTCCAGCTTCAACCTGTTCGCAAACTCTCCTGTGCTGTTGCACCAGAGAAACACCTCTTCCAAGATGCCCTCCGTCATGAATAAGTCGAGCATGGGCCCGTGCAGCTCCCCATTCCTACCCTCCTCCAGCAGCAGCTGCGCCATCTTCTGGACGTAATTGCAAACACTTTCTACGTCGTCTGCAGTCGCAGGGATGCGGGGCTGAAATGGTATCATTGAAAGTTCACAGTAATTTAAACTCATAACAAAAAATAAAATGCCTAACATTCCTGATAACAGAATTGATAACAATCAATGCTAAATTAATGCATTTTTGTACTACTATTCTACTTCTATCATAAATAAAAAGACTATAAATGAACAATTCAGTGCAATCAGCCATTTTGTTTGGTGAGCCTGTCTAATACTTCTCCGACTCCCACTGTCACCACCACAAACGGATTTGAAGGAAATTTTATGGCTTGATTGTTTTGAGATGGTGCCAATTCACATAGATCACGTGACTATAAAAATTTACTTCCGAGCCCTGCAAATTATTTCCAGCAAACAATATTTAAAAACTATAATATAGAAACTAAATAATTAAAATAATATAATAACAAATTAATACTATACAAAATTTTGTATATTGATGGCAGAAAGCCTGAAACTCACGTTGTTGTGAATGTTGGTGAGGCGCATGATGGCCAGTGCATCCGTCCAGTGGCACTGCAGCGCCTCCAAGCAGGCTGCTTGGTCGGTGAGTGGCCGAGGGTCGCCCGTGGGCCTACGCGCTGGCACGGGGCTGCGACGCCGTAGCCAACTCATAGCTGCAGCATCAGCAGCTACGCGCTACGTCTGCTCTCCTGCAAACAACCATACGCTACGGCTGAAGTTGGTCGTAAATATCGCACGACTTGTTTGACTTTTTTTCCGCTAACACAAGTGTCGTCTAGCATTGGTTGTTGTGGTTCAAGATGCCATTAGAGATATGCGAAAATCGTTGGCCCAGCACAATTAATTCAAATTGGTTTATGCTTTAGCAAACAACTAAGGATCTATCGTGACTCTCTATAGAAAAGTATCTAGGCTCCAGTTGCAGCCCTATTCACGTACAGCTACATTAATGATTATCATACCTAACTAACTGAAAACGAGAAATTCATCATTTAGAATTTTATACCATATCACACAGACCAGCTCCAGCCCTAATACAAGGCTTAGATTGTGCAAGATCCATCATTCCATGCTTGCCGACTGTATTCCCCGTGGTAGCGCAGCAACGTGTATAAACGTGATCTGTTCACGATCAACACCATACAAACTTCGTACGAATTGTCAGGCAACGATGGCGAACCGCTTCACTTAATTTTCATCCACAGGGACGATCGTAATTGGCAAATTATGCGAGCTGAAAATACCCATCTTCATTTGATATTGTTGGCGTTGCTTCTAAGTTCTAAAAGTAAAAGTACTACAAGAGCCGCAGAGCGTCTGGGCTCATCTGAGGTCTGTTGCTACGATTATAAACGTAAAATTTCAGTCGTGCGTAGTACCACATTTGTTAGGCGAGATATGCAGACACGCAGTTGGTTACACATTCATTGTTAGGACCGGCCCCACTTATCACAGAATGAGAGGGTGGGGACGAGGTGGTGTGGGCGGAAGGGGCGGGGAGGGGTGGCGGAGGGGAAGTGGTGGAGTAGTCGGGGATTGTAGGCTTCAATAGCAAAAAGCAGTTGCACTCCATTGTTAACAGTCAACAAATCCATGTTTTAACCCTCCTCTGAGGAGGTCAAAATTGTTATCAGACACTTACTGCTTCGCACGGTAAGTGGAAAGATTATTGCATTGGTCCTTTCAATAAAGCCATTTAAAAATGATAGGTCACCGCTGAAACAAAAAAGTTTTTCAATGCGCTTCGTCAGACCATGTCCTCAGAAAATGCTCTAAATCTGCCTGTGCCCCATTGACCTTTACTCTATGTGACTCAATTCTCGGCAACAGTGATGGCCTTTCCTACCATGATGCTATACAGCGACTATCACGTGCCTAGGTCAAGCCGTTTATATGTTTGTGCCGCATATTCTGCATTCCTCCCATATAACCTTAAGTTAGCGAGGGAATGTTCCCCTTCTTTTACACCTTATTGACCTGTTGATCTTTGACCCCAGCTTCGAATCCCCAACTCGTTTTTCGTGATTACCCCCAGACGTACGTGAGTACGTTTAGATTTGTGTGCCCAACTGTAGTGACGGACGGACGGAGGCACGCACAACAGACGCACGGACGGACGATTTTCACGGCGGATAATTGCGATTTACAAGCTGCATCTGACTATGTCAGCATGAGCTAAAAACTAAGATTATAACAGGCCACACTTGAACGTTCAAAAAAAAACCAGAAAGCTGTAAATAAACACGAAATTGTATTTCACGGTCTTAATGTTTCTTACCTTAAATTGCCTTGGATCACCTGTAATATGGCTGGTCAAATGCTCTATCATGCAACACACAAAGTAGACCGCGCGCTAGCTGCTGCACCTTGACCACTTAAATTATATAGCAATAATACTATTGGTATTAGTATTAGCTTATAGTACTATAGCCCGCGTACAGTTGCCGCAGGCTTATAGGATTCTATTATGTAATGTTAGCGGACAAGCGGGGTCAAGGCCGTGACAAGGTGCCTGCTGCAGTCCGCCGCGAAAAAATGCTCGCGGTTTGAAGTCGCAATCGACACGTTGTTTCACATAGAATACCGCAATGCAGACCATTTCAACGATAGTTAAGATTAAATTATAGTTTGCGGATTACATTAAGACTATTTCACTTCAGATAAGAGAGGCATTAATTGCCTACAATAGACTTTTATTAGGCCGCAAAGATAACCAGTTACTTAAGTTGATCTGGCCGGTCCGAGCATCCTGTATAGAAGATCTTATAGCCCTTGGGCAATGCACGCCGGCTTATAGTTTACTTAGAGCTATATTAGTATATTATGAATATGTGTCAGTGGATGCATGCGGAGCGTGCGGTTAGCTCTAGTACTATAGCGTGTTTACAGTTTGCCGCTGGCTATAGAACCAGCCTATTACGAATGTCGCGGAACAACTTACTCCAGCTCAGTCAGCAGAGAGAACTCATGTATTTCCGCCAATTGTGGTTAGGGTGGCGGTTTGTGTTGGTTTGTGGACTAAAACATTTTGTTGTTGTCATAGTAACAAATTAATATTATGTAATTTGTTCATTCGTTCATGACAAATACTAATATTAAATCTTTTTTTTGATCTGCCTTAATTTGTTACTTGATCAATCAAAACAATGTTTTTAGTCACAAACCAAACTATACGCCTCCACCCTCTCCACGTGCGGAACTTACAAGTTTCCGTGACTGGCCGCTGCTGCAGGGCGCCTGCCAGTAATGGCCGTCTTTGAAAGTTTCGCAATATCGAATGTTCGTTCACAATGAAATACGTCATTAGTATACCAGGTGAAACGATAGTTATGGAGATTTAAATTTTAGTAGCCTGATATAACTTAAGACATATTCTACTTCGGATAAAGTGGAATTAATTGCTACCACAGACGTTTTATAGGCGGGTATGTGAAGCGTGCTTAAAGTCGCGGTCCCGCCAACATGCCTATATGGTATTCTATTAACGCACAGCAGTTAAAATGTAGCGGGCTATAGTAGTAGATGCTAGCGTGCGGTTAGCTCCAAAGAAAACGGCGGTCTTTGTATGGGCTTAGGAGTACTTAGGTCTTGTGATGACTATGACTTGTTAGTCACACAGCCTGGTCTGGTATTAGCGTGCGGATTGTACTTTGTGTTCGTTGCCAGATGAGCATTTGGGAACGCATTTGGCTGCAAATACCAGCTTTAGGCACCTTAGTTTATCACACGAAGTTGATAGCACAATTTGCTGTTGCATCATGTCAACTTGAGAGCCGAATAATTCTGTCCTATATAAAAATTTTTTATATTTTGGTGAGGGTTATATCTGGCGACTAGACGGGGTTCATTGAAATTTCGTGAGATCGCATGCAAATGCTGCGTGCCGATCATGCGGCGGCGTACGCCGTATTGGCCGCCGAAAATAAACACTACCGTTTCTTTACATGGACTTTACCTTGCTGTATACATTCACTTCAATCGTTATTCACTTCTTAAAAGATTGTTTTTCAGACACCCCGCTTCATTTAACTTTCGTAAATAACATTCGCCATTTACAAACAATCAGACCAATCAGAGCGAGTCTATCTGCCCTCCTGCAGCGCCACAGATACAGGCGAGCCAATCGGAAAACCCATTCGACTCTTCCCGTCATGCCTAGAAAACAGTTCTTCTTTCGAAAACAGCGCTATTCTCTGAATGGTCCGAGGGTACCCGATTGACAGGCGAGCAAGGGCTCCTTGCCAATCGGGTACCCTCGGACCATTCAGAGAATAGCGCATGACTGCTTTCTAGGCATGACGGGAAGAGTCGAATGGGTTTTCCGATTGGGCTCCTTGCAAGTGAGAACCAGGCTATTGTAACACTCGCTCTGATTGGTCTGATTGTTTGTAAATGGCGAATGTTATTTACGAAAGTTAAATGAAGCGGGGTGTCTGAAAAACAATCTTTTAAGAAGTGAATAACGATAGAAGTGAATGTATACACATATCTGTAGCAAGGTAAAGTCATGTAGAAGGAAACGGTAGGGGTTTTTTCGCGCCAATAGCGGCGTACGGGCCGCATTCGCAGCGCATGCATTTTGCATGCGATCTCACGAAATTTCAATGAACCCCGTTCTGTCCCAATATAACCCTCACCAAAATATAAAAAAAGGTTATATATAATATAGGACAGAATTATTCGGTCTACATCAACTGATGCACAGACTTTCCGTATACCAGAATGATGCAAAAAGTTGAAAAACTCTAGGCCTAACACTAACCCTATTAAACACACTTCGTGATACTTATGGTTATACTTTATGACTTAGGGTTAGGGTTAGGATTTTTCCATCATTCCTTGATATATGAAAAGCCTGTGCATCAGTTGATGATACACAAAAATCTGTGCATCACTTCGTGATACCTAAGCCAACCAAGGTGCCTAAAGTCTAAAGAGTAACGACGTGGATTTGCGCCATCAAAATTACTTGCAGTTTCAGACGATTCCTTGTGCGTTGCAGACTCGACGTCTCATGCATTATTGACGCGAATAGACACTGAACGGTTTATTTACTTACAGCGAGGAATTCCACATGCGGTATTTTTCAATGGGCGATCTTCAGATTAAATACCTATAACTAAGTAGTAAAGTACTAGCTACGCAAAGAACTTTCCTCCCACTTGCTCCCATATTGGACGAAAAACAAGTGGCTGCTTTTTGGAATTACAAGCTATTTTCTTCGACATTTTTTTTCTTTTTTGTCTCTATGTGATTCTCTTTCTTTTCTTTTTTCTTCGCCTTAGCTTATGCTCCTCTCGTCTTTTTAATCCCCACTCTTCTTATAAACATCTTCTTCTTCTCCCCTTATCTACCCCATCCTCTCTTCTTCCCAGTCTTCCTCCGCCTATTTCGTTTCGCCATCGTCGTCGCGTTGTTTGGGAGTAGCGCAAGTACAGAGTAGAAGTAAAAAGAGTCAGAGGGGTACACCCCTCACTGCTCAGATTGGCCTATATTCATCAAAGATGCCCAGCACGGCTGGTTAGCTGGCATTAACCTCTCAAAAGTGTTATGAAAACATGAGAAGTCTAATATCATCTGAGTCTGACCACCAACCCACTGCCTAAATTTTGTATCTTTCCAAACACAGAAACAATGTGACGAGATTTCAATTAATATTATAATGTAATCATTATTGTTCCGAGTGTTATTCTGTTATTTAGATATTGCTCAAAATAACATTAGGAACATTAGGAATTACGCTCACGCACGCACGGACGGACGGACGGACGATCATGCGATTCTACAAGCTGCATCTGACTATGTCAGATGAGCTAAAAACTAAGATTATACACAGGCACTTGGAACGTCTCAAAAAAAACAGAAAGGTAAATAAACACGAAATGTATTTACTACCAGTCTTAATGTTTCTCTACCTTAATTCGCCTTTAATCACCTGTAAATGCTGGTCAAATGCTCATCTGCAACACACAAGTACGCCGCGCGCTAGCTGCTGCACATTGACACATAAATATATAGATATACTATTAGTATTAGTATTAGCTATAGTACTATAGCCCGCGTACAGTTGCCGCAGGGTTATAGGACATTCTATTACGAATGTTAGGGACCAAGGGGGTCCAAGGCGCTGACAGGTGCTGCTGCAGCGCCGCCAAAAATGGCGGTTTGAAGTTCGCAAATCGAACGTTTGTTCACAAGAAATACCGCAAGCAGACCATTTCAACGATAGTTAGAGATTAAATTTTAGTTGCGGATACAACTTAAGACATATTCACTTCAGATAAGAGGCATTAATTGCCTACCAAAGACGTTTTATAGCCGCAAGTAACCGTTACTAAGTTGGTCCCGAGCATCCGTAATAGAAGATCCTATAGCCCTGGGCAACTGCACGCGGGCTATAGTTACTAGAGCTATATTAGTATATTTATGAATATGTGTCAGTGTGCAGCAGCTAGCGTGCGGTTAGCTCTAGTACTATAGCCCGTGTACAGTTGCCGCTGGGCTATAGAACCAGCCATTACGAATGCTCGGGAACAACTTACTCCAGCCAGTCAGCGGAAACTATGTATTTCCGCACGTGGAGGGGTGGGCGGGTTGTGTTGGTTGTGGACAAAAACATTGTTGTTGTCAAAGTAACAAATTAATAATAGTAATTTGTTCATCTTTCATGACAAAACTAATATTACAATCTTTTTTGATCGCTTAATTTGTTACTTGACAACAACAATGTTTTTGTCCACAACCAACCCAACCCTCCCACCCCTCCACGTGCGGAAATACATAGTTCCCGCTGACTGGCGCTGCTGCAGCGCCGCCAGAAATGGCCGTTTGAAGTTCGCAAATCGAATGTTCGTTCACAAGAAATACCGCAAGTATACCATTGAAACGATAGTTAGAGATTAAATTTTAGTAGCTGATATAACTTAAGACATATTCACTTCGGATAAGAGGAATTAATTGCCTACCACAGACGTTTTATAGGCGGGTATAAGCGTGCTTAAAAGTCGGTCCCGCACATCCCTAATGGCTCATTCTATAACCCAGCAGCAGTTAAAATGTAAGCGGGCTATAGTAGTAGAGCTAGCGTGCGGTTAGCTCCAAGAAACGGTCTTTGCTAGGGTTAGGAGACCTAGGTCTGTGTGACTATTGACGTTAGTCACACAGCCTGGTCGGATTAGCGTGCGGTGTACTTGTGTGTTGCAGATGAGCATTTGGACGGCATTGGTGCAAATCCACTTTAGGCACCTTAGGTATCACGAAGTGATGCACAGATTTCTGTGCATCATCAACTGTAGACCGAATAATTCTGTCCCATATAACCTTTTTTATATTTTGGTGAGGGTTATATTGGGACAGAACGGGGTTCATTGAAATTTCGTGAGATCTCGCATGCAAAATGCTGCGCTGCGATCATGCGGCGCGTACGCCGCTATTGGCCGCCCGAAAATAAACACTACCGTTTCCTTTACATGGACTTTAGCCTCTGCTACACGATATGTGTATACATTCACTTCGAATCGTCTATTCACTTCTTAAAAGATTGTTTTTCAGACACCCCGCTTCATTTTAACTTTCGTAAATAAACATTCGCCATTATACAAACAGATCGACAATCAGAGCGAGTCTAATCTGCCTCTCGCCCAGCGCCACAGATACAGGCGTAGCCAATATCGGAAAACACCATTCGTACTTCCAGTCATGCTAGAAACAAGTTCTTCTTTCGAAAACAGC